GAGGCTATTTGATTGTTATTTCAAATGTCTGCGGACTCTTTTAAAGTCCTCATGTTCTTAAAAAGGTTTCATAGAGACTTTATAACAGAAACAGGCCCACATGTTCATCATATTGTGGATATTAGGCAGTCTTTGGTTTGTTTGTTTTTGTTTTTTTTATCATTGGTAAAAGTAATCAACTTTTTTTAGCTACACGTCACATAAGGGAATAACCATAGATAACTAGTTAGAAATTGAGATTATAATGAGTGAATCTTATTTAAAAAATATGAAACAATTTTTCCTTAATGTTTGATTTCTACCCCCTTAGAACAAATTAACTTGGAGTAACAATATGATTTTTTTATATTCAGCATATGATTATAGGACTGCATCTTTACTAATTAATGCAGATGGCTTCTCACACTGAGCCTGGTTCTGCTGGAGGTTTCTTCCTGTTAAAAGGGAGTTTTTTCTCTCCACTATCGCTACAAGCACGCTTGGTGTGAGGGATCGCCTTCGAGTCAATGAGTCAATGCAATCAGCTGGTTTTCCTTAGATAGAAAACTGTGAATCAATTTGACTAGATGATTTGATTGAATTGTAAAGTGCCTTGAGATCACAAGTGTTGTGAATTGGCGATATATAAATAAACTAAATTAAACAAATTTCTTCATCTGCACCTGTAGTTCCGTAATGGACTATCTTCTGAGTTTCTCAGGCCAAACTTTACGACCCATAACCCTAAAGGCAGTGAATTATTTACTCCTGTCATTCTGGTAGTGGTGAGGCAGAGAAGCAATTTGGTGAAATCCCATCCTGCAGGGTTGATGGTGACATCAGCAGTTCTCATATCCCACAAAAGACACTAAAGAGAATGGAGACACAAAGGGAGCAACAATATACAGGCCCACACAATAATCCAATCAAAAGTTGTTGTTTTTTATGGTCCTATATGCTTTGTGTTCAATTTCACTTTGTTTTGAGAAAACTACTTGGGAAAACATTAGTTCAACAGACTTACACATCACCAATAACAATAATCATAACTGAACTGAGGTCACAATTATGTTCCCTGATAAATATATGAGGAATGCATTCTTTCAGGTTAACAATGTGAAAATCCATGCCTTCTCATATATAAATTTCTGAATGTACTACTATTTTTATGAAATTTCAGTAAAAAAAAAAATAAAATAAAATAAAATAGCTGCAGGATGTTTATCTGCATGTTCCACAAATCACAAAACAGCTAGGGCTAAGTTCTGCTCTGATTTTGATAGAGAGCCACTTCCTTTTTGGTGTTCAATTAAATTATTTTTAAAACCTCGCACTTTTTAGGCTTGCTATTTTTATCATGAAATACCCTTCTTTAAAGTATGGCTTGTGGTCTTTGAAAATCTTTTTTGTTTACAAATATCTAAATACAATAAAAGCCTATACTCTCTTTGGCATCTAAACCAGACAGGAGCCACTGATCCAGTCTGAAACCTTAATTTAAATGGGTCTAATAGTGAGAATGAGCTCTGTCAGTAACCTTAGAATTTTTTTTTAGAACTTTTACATGAAACAAAGTTGTGTTGGACGAAAATTATTATATGTCAACCTTGGTTTGCAAATATGTGGGGCCAAGCTGAAGTTGTGTCAGGTTGGTGGAGGCAAATCCAGTGTAATCTTGCCATCTGTCTGACAATGGGTCCTTTTCTGTTAGAGGGAGTCAGGTTGAGGAGCAGATAAATTCAGCTTTCCAGGTATTATGATTGATATATAATCATCTAAATGTATCTTTTGTCATTTGCATCCTTTAATACTTTTATTTATTTATATATATTTTTTTTTTCATTACTTAGATATGCCTTTTTAAAGTGCACTATACTATACACAACATTCATTATTATTTATTATCACCGTTATTGTTCTTTGAAAAATAAAATCATATTACATCACATTACCTCCAACTCTATGGCTTAGAACTTTATACTTCTTTTATGTTTAATCTCACACTGCTAGTCGCTTGTGCATTTTGCTCATTTAAATTGGATGGATCCATCCTGATTGAACATCTTATCTTTTGCACAAACAATCTTGATAGATCACTCATGTTTACTTTTTTAGGTTCTTAGATTACTTGAAGATCAGTCCCCAAGAGTACAAAAACTATTAGCAGGTTGTGATGAATAAAAAACTGATTTCTCAGAACAAGTCTCCTTGGTCATGATAGGAAATATCAGTATAGTTCTTATTGGGAAGTAAATGAGGGAAAAACTTAGTGCCAATGGATTTATTTTTGTGTCCTATTAATCTCTGCAGCATCTATGCATCTCTGCAGAGCTTTCTCTACTTTTGTCATGGTTGGACATGGTGTTATGCATTTATCATAATTCAAGTTGAAGAATCATTATACCTGCAATGTAAGATGCATAATTTTTTGTTTTTCCATTAGTTTCAGAAATAACTTGAGACTTTTTGGTTTGCCCCCTCACCAGTTGTAATACTCACTTTAAGCATCCCTCATTATTATTAGTATGAGCAAAGCCAAGGCACATGGAAATGAAAATAGGGTTCCAATGATTCTTTTTTAATGGTCTTTTTTTGCAGAAAACGGAGGGTTTAAATGCAACAGAATTCAACAGTTGGTGGTTGGACCTTGTCAAGAGCCTTCACATGGATTCCACCCCAAAGACCCCTGTATTCACCCCTCATTGTCTTGGCCTCCTGCTCTGCCCTCTTTACAAAAATAAAGGCAACCCAGGATTTAAAGGTCAAGTCCAAACAAAAGCTGACAGTCCCCAAAGGCTGAGGTGTTTTTAATTGACATTTCTGTCTTTGTCCCCTCACCATAAAGACAGGGAGAGAAAATAGTCTTTTCTCCAATATACTAAATTACTACTAAATGAGACCTGTGAAAAAAATAGGGCTATGGGGTGTAGCCAGGTTCCACCAGCTTGAGGGAATCCCCTTGTTAGGAAGCTATGGGGGCAGTGTTGAAGGGCTGTAAAGTGCTTACTCCACCATAAAGGGGAAGGCTCAGGGACAAATCCCCACACAGAAGCGGCCTCTCGCCATAGAGAGAGATAAACCAGTTAGGCCTTTGTTTATGAAGTTTCACTTTATTCCCCCCCTGACAACCATTTAGACAATGACTATGGGGAAATGTCCCTCTGCGAATGAGCAACAATAGTCAAGATCAGCAGCTTTTCTGAGGAGCTAATTCTGTGATAAAAAGAGTGCAAATCTTCCTTCCTGAAAGCATTAAAGACTGCCTAATGAAAGACACCTGAACAAGAGCAGAGAGAAGCTTAAACAAAGGTGCTTTGTCCAAATGATGCCACCTTTATGCACCAACACAATTACCCACCACTCTCTGGTGCTCTACGGAACACTGCATATTATACACTCGGTCTTTGTCACGTCTTGCTCCAAACCATTTAAATGTTCATTCCTCTTTTTAAGTTTTTTTTTCCTTTTTAACAATAGATTTTGTGGAACAAATGTAAGAGAGAATATGTATTTGGGCAATATCAGTTGTACATGTCTTTCGTATCAACCCTTTATCAAATTCCATCAATGTTCTATGCCGACAATAATTGATTACTCTGTATTTTCAAAAGCAAAGCAACTTGATAAGCTAGGCCATTTTTTTTTCCATATCTTTCTTTTGCTAAAATTAGCCCCACTTAAAGCATCCTCACATATTAGCAAAGCTATAGCCTCTTTGTGAAAAGCGCCGCTGTCAAGACTTCATAAACCAGAAATCCCTTGTATTTCCTGTTTTGTTCAAAAGCCAAGGTATTCATAAATCATTAAGTTATTTTCATGTCAAAAACGTTCAAAAGGAAAGCCTATTTTACCCCAGTGTCCAAGCAATTTAGACATTAGTTTAATGTTTTATTTATATATGAAGTAGTAAATAGCGTGGCACCAACGTACCTGTCGAAACTTCAGAAGAAATCTTTGATCACTCATTATTCATTCAATGTATAAAACTGGGACTTAAAGCAGATAAACTTTCTCAGGTTTTGGTCTATGGCTGTTTTTATTTCCTTTTTAACTTTTAAGTTTCTATTTTTCTCATGATTCTAATTATAGCTATATTTGTATGTGGTCCAGTGCTTTGTAATGCAAAAAAACTTTTATTTAGAAACTGTGTTAACATTTAAGATTATTTAGGACCTCCTTGACAAAGTTGTGTTTTTCCTCATCTTAAAATTAAAATGAGGGAAACTATTGCACACAAAACGCTTTTGTGCATATGATCTTTTGTGCATTCAGCATTTAAGATGGCTTTTGTATATAGCGAGATGGGTATCTGCCAGAAACATCACTCAGGCATTGTGGAGGGGGGATTCATTTTCAGCTCCCCTTTGTTCTATTCTTTGGCCGAGACCAAGGAGCCACGCCTGCTCCTCTACCTTGAATTGTGTAGCAAACATTCCCTTCTTTGTGGCACTAGGAGCATGAGCTAGCTCATCTCCACAGGCTTTCGTGGGAGGTGGCTGTCACGGTGGCGGGGTCGCATTTGGTAATCCAACCTGGTTTTGCTCTAGGGTGGTGGTTTGCTACTGGGCCAAAGAGACTGTAAAAGAGTAAGTAGATTGTGCAGGGAAAGTCCTGTTCTGGATCTGCTTTGCAAATGCCTCCTCTGCGTACTGCTATAACTACCTTTTCGCCATGCCACTCAAAACACCATCCTTGTCATGCCCTCTTGGGCTCCCTGATGTTTCCCTCTATCATCATGAGGCTTTATTTCTTTTTTGATCCCTTTCTTCCACCCAATAACTTTTAGCCTCCATACATATTTTTTGAAGACTTGTGTTGTGTCACACAGAGGGAGCCACGCCCTCGGCCTGTGTGCACTCTTTTTATTAAATCTGTGAAGGCGCTGGGCTGCGCTGCCGAGTAATCCTACAGTAATTGTTTCCAGATTAGGGGACCCGGACCACAAAGCAGGTTTAGCCAGGCATGAAATGGCCTCCCAGCACAGCAGCACCGACAACTAGGCCTGGCGAGGTGCTACTCACCTGGGTGAAGTCCACAAACGTCCATGGAAGCAGAGAGTCTAGGTAGCCGATGTCCTTTGAAAACCTGTTAAGAATTCTCCCTAAGAACAAAATGCAAATACAAAGATCAGACAAAGCCAAAATTATTGGATATTCTTAAAAAATAGATTAAAATAAACAAAGATGCCTTATCTTTACCAACCCCCTAATAATAGTGTCGGAACTAAAGATGTAGGTCAAAATCAGATGTTCTTCATTCATTCAAAGTTACGCTCACTTGTTTCAATAGAGCATCTGTTTCCATAGTCTCCTCAGATAGAACACTAAAGAGCTAAGAGACTGAGATGAAAAGCATTAGCCCTATCTAGTTTAAACAATGAAGCATTATTTGTGCAGCATTTCATAAAGTCTGGCCTACTCTTGGATGAATATGTGAGGGAGCCTTTTGTCTGGAAACAAAAGGGCAACAGAAGCTGCGTACCTGCCTTTATGCTCCAACTGGCAGTGTCAGTGACATTAATTGAGTTGCCTCCAATCTGCTCAGGTGTTCATTATTTTGGACAGTGCACTGCAGGTGCAGTGGCAGCCCCTCCATTGTTACCCCTTTGGTAACTTTGATCCCTTATTTTGATCTAAAGACTCATAAGATTACACTTCCTGCTGTGTTCATACACTGTTTACTGCAGGCTCAGTTGTAGTCAATCCCCACAGTGCATTTCCTACTACCTACTAACTCTGTTTCAGAAGGATGCTGACAAACTGTGGAAAGTGGACAACACAATGTGGCCACAGCTTGAGGCCCCGTCCACACGAAGTCAAAACGAACACGAAATGCTAATATTTTCCAGAAAGTTTGTCGTAAAGACGGAGACGTAAAATAAATGTGATCGACCACACGAATGCATGAAAACGCTGCAAAATGTATGCCAGGCCTGTAAGTGGCGCTGTGGTGCCAAAGCAAAAATAGGTGAAAACAGGCAACGAAATGTTGGGCATGCGCAGTAATATTTATACAACAACCAAACCGGAAAACCGGAAAATGGTCCTGCGGGTCCATTTTCGTGGTTCAGTCAAATTGAGGTGATGAACTATGTCATCTATATTGCTCTGTTCTTCCTGGAGATATTCCAGAAGAAGAAGATTCTGTTGTAAGCCCGACAGCAGGGTGAGTAGCATGAGCAGCAACCATTCAACACAGTACGGCGCCATTGTTGTTGTGATACTGTGTCGCGCATGCATGTTTAGAGGCGACGCTATGACGCATGCGTGTAAGAAAAAAAATGCCGTTAGAGCTTAAAGATGGAAACGCGAAAACGGCGTTTCAAAATCTTCCCACTCTGAAGGCTTAATAAAAAAAAGATCGTTTACAGACCCCCGAAACGCCGGCTTCGTATGGATGAGAGACTGGTTTGGTGAAAAATGTGTGCGTTTTGGCCAGGGTTTGACTTCGTGTGGACGGGGCCTAAGAGGGCTACTTTGTACATCCTCTGATAAAGTTATGTTAAATTGCTTTACTATACATCTGAAAGCAATTGAGCAAATATACAGAGCTAAAACCAGAAATAGACACATGCTGTAAAAGTAGAAATTATATATTTTTTTTAATTCTCACTATCTGACACTGAATTATACTAACCTTTTCCTATTTAGGTTATGAACGATTATTAAAATTGTTTCTGTTTGCTAAACAAATTAATAATACCTGTAAGTATTGGTAAGGTATGTACAAAGATAGCTGGTGATGATGGTGAAGACCTTAGTCAGAGTGACTTATAGGGCAGCATCGATCTTTAAACATCTTCGGCAAGTTCAGGCCTTTGCCATCCGAAAGACAGTTGCCCAAAAGGCAAGATCAAACCAGTACCTGAGGTTTAGTATTCTTAGCCGATGATTTATTTTAAATCCTTCTTAATAAACATTTTGGCCAGGAGTCCTGATACAATTCTGTGAGACCTGATTTTTTCTTTCCTCTTATGAGTGCATATTGTGTTTGTAGATTTTGTGGACTCTGCTGTGCCTATATTGCCCCTGAGGAACAAAAAAGTATTCAGTTTCATTCAGTCATATTCAACTCAAAACTTTCTTCAATACATGCACAAAAAATACTTTGCCATGATTATTTGAAAAGTGCAGATGACAATGTTCTGGATTTATAAAGAATAAAATGCTCCACTTGTGTCCAACTATACAAGCTCCAATCTTTTTTTTTTCTTTTGTCATACTGACTGCCTAGAGGTTTCCTCTACAGACCAACAGCGGTGCTAGATCTGGTCTTTATGGGAGAGTATGCACTGCAGAACAAGCCGGGCAGTAAATATAAATCTACAGTTGCTATTCTAAAAAGCTCAAAGAAAATAGTTGTTTCACTCCATCTCTTTGTGTATTTGTGAGCTCCTACAATATATGCAGTGTTTCTTGAAATGTTTAATTGATTATTTATCTCCAAGTCTTAGTCTACCCAACTTGTTATATAGGAACAAAATGTGTGCTGTGTAATTCCGTATGAACCTACAAAGAGGGAAACCTTGCCTGTTTCCAGCCATGTAGCAAAGTAAACTTGTGACATTCAAATTCAAAGGTAAACTCATGAAGTTCCCATGAAATTGTTGCAAAGGTCTGACTAAGACAGATCATTAAATTACCTCAGTGGGAACACAGTTACAGAGAGTTACAAGTACTTAACCTATTAACATAGCCTCTCCAATCAAAGCTAAGGCCACTTGGACCACTACCTCTCCTTAAATATTTCCTAATTGTTTTTGAAAATGTGATACAAGTGATGCACAGCAATACACTACATTAAGGTTAAGTAAAAGTAAAAGCTTGATTTCCAGTAACCACAACAAAGTGTAGGATTTTCCTTTTAGAAATAAAATCTCAAAATTGTATTTCGCATTTACACAGGTTATGTTTGCTGAATTAGTTTGATGATTTTAAACATTTCTCTGCGACAAAAAAGTTAAAAAGTTAGAACCAAAGAAATTGTTTGGGGGGGGGGGCTATTTTAAATTAGAGTTAGACAAAAGTTTGGACCTTTTTTGGTATAAACTAATATTAAGGTTTTATCAACACCTTCATTTGACTGAGAATGTTCTCTATTTTGCAATCTTATTTTGCAAGTAAATAATATACTTAAACTGACTTGAAAATTTAAACCAACTTAACAGCAGTGCATGGCATTCACTAGTGTGGGATGTGAGGAGCAGCAGGCTGACACATCGGCAGGATGTGGTGGCATGGAAAAACCATGGCATCGCTGACCTAAAAGTTGCCTTCCAGCTTCCAGTCAGTCCTATGGAGGAGGGCCCTGTAATCACCTCTCTCCACGGCCGTAAGCAGCTTACAGCTTTATCCAAAATGCCGCTCCTGCCTAAAAAACATGCATGCAGACGAGGCTGGGCTCCCCATAACAGCCATTGCATAAACCCAGCCAGAGCATTATTCCCTGCAACAACCCAGCAATGCTCCAAATCAGCACTGATTCAAAGTCAAGTGGCGTAAGCATGTTGTACACTTAGAGGCAGACTAATCTTATTCACAGTGTGAGTGCCCCTTTAGCATACAGACATCCTGAGGGGAGGGTTCAAGAAAGCAAGGAGGAAGAGCTGCTACAACCCCAATGAAAGATGCCGCTGCTTTTCCATCTAGGAATAGGAGGAGGATTTAAATAGTGTTTGTCAAATATATTCAATAATATTTTATGTAATTTCACTGTCTAAGCCATAAATGACCTAAATCCACGCATATGTGACAAACAATGCCAATGGGTAAAAACAGGATCAATTTCTCTAGGTTACATCATCCTATGGTTAAAGGGTGTCGGAGCATCCAGCATCAGACAGCTATCAGCTGTTTAACAAGCGGCTCAGTTAACGGAGAGAGTTTTATCAGGGATGAGGCAAAGACCCTTCTCCCACTGTCCAGACTAAGGAGGGGATACATTACAGTGATGCAGTTACACAAAGACATTCACTGCATGGAAATGCCTATGAGGTAAGATCAGCATGGGACAATGGCTTCAATCACTCTGGGTGGTTGTCAACAATATCACCTATTGTGTGGAGAAGGGTATAGACATTTCAGGATATCAGCAGCATTAGTATCAAACAATTTCTCATGCTTTCGGACTCCAGGGGTGATTTGCACCACTTTTCAGGCTCAGAAAATATCAAGCTCTCCAAACGAAGGTGGCCTCTTAAGGTGGAGATATTAGGTGAGCAGGGCCCCCAATTACTTTTAAAGAAGTGGAACAGTGGGGTCCAGCTCGAGCGGGACTGTGTAGCAAATCGCTGTTCCCTGTAAACATCAAGATAAGGCGACAACTCAGAGCAGCTCCATGTGTGGGCCCCAGTGCAGTTGCAGGGGCTTTTCAGTGAGTAGAGTGTGATAATAAAGTAATACCAGGGAGGGGGCTGCCAAGGCTGGAGGTGGCACGGCTCACCTGCACTTCCATGAAGGGCCCACAGGCCTGGGGCAGCCTCCCACCGCCGGCGCCTTGCTGCCAATACTAATACATTCTAAATCCATTCTCTCCGCTCACACCGCCAGGCTCCTGCAATCTCCTCTCCTTTCCTTTCATGCAATTAAATAGTGGAAGTGCCGAGCGAGGGGGAGCCCTATCAGCCATGCTGCACACACATGCGCTGCTCCATCTCCACATTCAATTTACACACTTCGATATCATCATCCTCTCTGCAGTACTTCCTTCAGTTCACTCTTAACACTCCTGCATTCCAGACCTGAAATACAGACATTAAAAACATTGCCTCTGCAGACACAATTAGAATCTCACAGCTCTGCCCACAGAAGATCTAATGTTTCCTACGTCAACAGCAACTGAGTGACACCAAGCTCCAAGATGGCCCACCATGTGTTTAGGTTGGTGGCACAATTATAACGCTATATAGGAGATGCTGATGTATATGTGTGTGTGTGTGTGTGCATTGCCTGAAACTACTCCTTAACTGTGTTGATGAGCTGAAGCCTCGGCCTGCAGTCTCTGAGGGGATTAGCCCACTCAATGACACCAAATTACAGGGATCAACATTAGCTTGACATATTCACTGCTGTCTGCGCAGCTCTAACTGGATCATATTCGTATGAACAGAATATAATAAGACAGTATGACTACATTTGGGCAATAGGAATATTTAAAGGTAGAGAAATTTGCATATACACACACGCATACACACGCGCTGGTTTATGTCCTTAACCCAAATGCTGGGTCTCCACTGCCAGGACAGAGGTTGGGTAAGAGGAAACATGCATGGAGAAAATATGGTGTATAATAATGTTAATGTCAGTGGGTTGTGATTATGAATTAAATTGACTCTAAAGAATTAGTTTTTTACAATTAGACTTTTATTTCTTAACTGAATAAAGTTAGCTATAAATGATTCACTGATCATAGTTTGACCCCACAACGGCCCATAAATTAGACATAAAAACACTCAAAATTAAGTTTTTATGATTTATTAAACTCAAATACTGAGTTTCATAAGTACTTTTAATTAAAACATTGGCTAAAAATTCAAAGACACTTTTTGTTGAAGAAAAGGGGGTGAAATTCTTAAAGCTACAGTGTGTAATTTTCAGCGATATCTAGCGGTCAGACTGCAGACTGCAGCAACATGAACATCTCCCCCCCACCGCTTCTCCCCCCCAACAGTACGGCGAGCGTTACGGGACAAAATGTCTTCCACGACGTCCGCATCACCTACCTTCTCAAGTGATGAGGTTTGTTTACATAGATAATTTTACAGATAGTATTTCATTAGTCTGTGTAGGGTATAGATTTCATGTAGACTTAAGATAATAAATATACCCGTTATTTTTTCTACGTCGTTGTGACGTTTTGGTGAGCTGCTTTGCATGGTGATATAAACAGACGAAGTAATTGTAGTCATTAGTTTAACAGCGAGATTGTGTTCGCTGGAAGAATATATATTCCCCGTTTACAGAGTCCAAGTCTTGTTTGTGGCACGGGGGTTACAAGGCAAGGAAGAGGGAAAGGAAGAGGGCAGAGAGGCCGGGGTGAGCGTGCAGCTGGGGCCAGGCGAGAGAGGGGAGCCAGCGGGGTGAGAGCAGAGGAGGAAAGGCTTGAAGATCTCCAAAGGAGCCGGAGAGAAGTAACCGAGGTATATATCCAGAAAATTATTTTACAGAAAATTACTGAATCATTACCTGTGAAACGTCAGGGACGTTGCTGAATAAGTATACTGGAGAGTAACAGCATCATCACACAGCATGTTATTGTTTTAGACAGGTCTGAGCATCCTGTACTCCAAAAACTGCAGTGATATTAGACAATTGTGTGTATAGGATTAATTACCTGTCCAAGAGAAAACTGGCAACTTGAGCGTCACTTTGAAAACCTTTTTCCTCCATCAGTGACTTCCATCGTGTAAATGCCGTGCCAATGTTGATCCGTGTTTTTTGTCGTTTCTTGTCACGCTTGCGTTTATTCTCGTCGTGTTTCCGCTTCTTAGATGACGGGGGTTCGGTGTCCGCCGCTTTTCGTTGTGATACAGAGTAGGCATGATCCTCCATTCGTCTGATGTTTGGCCACACAGTGCCAAACAGTTTGCAAAGTCACTCACGCCTGCCGCCTTGTTTACCTTTCTTGTTACCGAGGCGCAGTATACCTGCTTCTTCTTCTTCTTTGGTTTCAGGCAGACTAAACGCTTCTCAGGCATAATACTGCCATCTACTGTTCAGTACCGTCTCAGTTAATCTCTCTCAACTTGCCGTAGTTATTTTTGAGCGTCATGGGAGATCTCGCAATCGCTAGTTTGTTGCCTCTGCGCTGCCGTAGCGCAAAGATGTCAGCCTCCATGGCTGCGAGACCCGCTCCTATGTAATTATAAATAACGAATTCTAAGGCAACGCAAATATTATGGTTAAAAGGCTGAGCTCATAGGTGATGATAAATAACATAGTTATGTATAATATATTAAATTTCTGAATTTATATGCCTGTAATTATTACACACTGTAGCTTTAACTGGTGATCAAATGCACATAGACAAGAAAAATACCTAAAAAGTTTGTATACCTGATTCACTTGTTTCATCAACATGTCTCATACTGCAACAGTCCTGTACATCAGCGTCAAGTGCCAATATTAAACATCACTCAATTTAGTTAATGTTTGGGGTTGAAAAAAAAAAAGAAACGGATTATTTTGAGTTAAAATCATGATCTTACTTTGTCTTGTTAAATCAACCCATCTAATTTGATCTGTATTGAATGAATACCACTATACCCGTTATAGATGCAGTGTCTCAATTACAAAATAGTATCTGGTGGATTTTTAAGCAACAAAATGAGTTTCACAAAAGAACCTTGGTGAGTGAAAAAGGTGCAGGTGATTTTCAGCAGATACAGCAGAGCTATAGTGTTTCTGCATCAATCATAACCCACCACTGATGTTGTCTGTTGTAACGTAGTTACAAAGAGTAAAAAAAGAACACCTTTATGCAGCTGTGCTCAAAATCATAACCTTTAACTCAGAGGGCCGCTATCAAACACAGGGCCTTTTTTCCAGTGGCAGCGACACACCTATCACTTACATGTGTAAACAGCTGTCAAATCCTCCACAGCGCAGTTACAAATTACTCAGACTCATTGCGATAGTGTTGAATGCAGAAGAGTTGATGGAAGTGACAGTTATTGTATGCGAGTGAAAAGAATGTTCAGACAGTGGCAAAACATTGGGAGGAAAATGAAAACTGTCGGCAAAAGGGAAAAATACTGCAAACTGTAGAAAAACATCCAAATAACTTTGGATTTCTTTCTGGTGGGCTAATAATAATATTTGCCTATTTTTATTGTGTTTAACAGTTGTTTAATTTCATTTTTGGAATAGCTGCCTTTTAATCCGGGGAAACATAAATTCTGTTTCCCATTTTAAAGGCCAAGCTGTAGTAACTGGACTGACCAAGCAATGGCTCACTGATAACAGCACAGCAACAATCAGATAGCAGTGTCTGTTAAGCCTCTCCTTTGCTGCTCTATTAAACGGATCATTAGATTATTTAAAGTGTTTGCTCTCCTCAGTCTTTCTAAAGATTTCAGAGCAAGGCACACCCAGATAAAAGGCTGTCCGATACATAATGCAAACGGCAGTACCTGAAAAACAAAAGATGAAGATTAAGACGTGCAGCGTTCTTTCCAAACATAACTCTGCAAAAGGAAAAGCTTTCACGCTTATACGCCCACTTCTAAAGCCAGTCGAAACCTCAAGCTGCTAAAACACCCTCAAATCATATTTAGACTGGTGTTAGTGGCTTATTATGACTCATTATACCGATACAGTCGCCCTTCTTGTAGTGAATTCCCACCCGAGCCGATTGTGCTGTAAACTCCTGTCACTATGAGGAGATTAGGCGGCGTAATTATCTCCAGACAGGTGAACAATGTAAAAGAAAAAGCTGAAGTTATCAAAGTAGGCCACTTGATAGCTGACTTTGAATTTGATTGGCAGGCTGTGGCGTTATTCCTCAACCTAATTACAAGAGGTCTTAAAGTAGTCTAGATGTAAAGCATAAGGCAAATATAAGCAATAGACAAAAACATATTTGATTTTTTAAATAAAAGAAACGGCTGCCATTTAGACCTTTTAATCACTTTTTATGTTGTTTTGTCTGCCCGCTCCTCTAAACCAGCTGCCGCTCACAACTTCATAATATTAGAAAAATGTCCGACACGGTGCACAGGATAAATATTTCTGTATTTGTACAGGTCCATAATCCAAACACAACATTATCTAGGATCGAGGGTTCTGCAAACAGTATTAACTAAATCTGTTTGCTCTTTTGTAAACCCCCCCCCCCTCCAGTGCCGCTCTCACTCTTCATCTTAAACGCCTTACAACAGATGATAAATCTTATCACAATATTTTGGATTGAGTTGAACATTCATAATAGCAGATGAACAATGAAAATATAAAAAATTAAAACAATACAGAAATTGTAATTTTTTTCTTTTATAGCAGTTTTAAATTTTTTTTTACATCTATCTCAGTTATTTCTGATATTCGAATAAATATACCAAAAAATCTTTTAAAACTACAAAAATTGTCTGAAAATATAATGTCCATATTTGCAAGGGTAAATTCTTTTTTTTTATTCAATAAAAAAACATCATATAAAAACTTAATGGTCATGACATGAAAGATGAGGGAAAAGCTTAACTGTTCTTTTTTTTCTGGAGCAGAACAGACAGTACTGTATGTCAAAGAAAAGTAGCAGTCTGCCCTCTAGTGGTGATGCACAAAACAAAGAGCTAAATGTTCTTGACAACTCATGATCTCATGTTAATACATCACTGATGCAGACGCTGAAATCAGACCTTCATTTCCTGATTAGTGCACTCACCAGTTGGGTTGGTATCAAAAAAGCGTATGGACGTCCGGAGGATGGCCCTGAACATGTTTTTGTGGAGGGTTTGAGCAGACTTCACCAGGACTTTGAAGAAGACCAAGCTGCGGGTGAAGCCAAACACAACCGAGGTGACTGTTAAAGCTGAAAGAAAAAAAAATGTATACATGAAAAACTGCTTGAGAAATGTTGTTCTGCATGTTTACTGCATTACAGCTTAAAGTACTTTTTTTTTTTTACTTTGTGTTTTAATGGAGTCTTGCATTGGATGTCATAAGCATGATAAAACTGTTGATGATGTTACCTTTTTTTTTCCAAGTCTGATGGGTTTCAGCACTATTATGAAAACATTCAGGATACTTCGGCTAATTTTAGAATATGTTTTAAGCTAATTAAAGTAATGTTTAGTGAGCTTGTTTGTGTGGTAAGATCAGTATTTCTGTTTGTGATCGATGCTCGCTAATTGACCCAATATCATGCACACCTTTTAAATGACTTGCCATTACAAGTAGAAGATCAGCCAATCACATGCGCTTAGGTATCAAGATGATTTGTTGAGATTAAGACCAACATAAAAATGTGGATGAAAGGGAATCTAGGTGTCTTTAAAGATGCATGGTTGTTGCTGCAAGATGGTTGTTAGTTTATGCCAGCAACTGCTGATCTACTGGGATTTTCAAACGCCCATCTCTCAGGGTTACATAGAATCATTTAAAAAGACAAATGATCCATTAAGGGCAGCTGTGAGGGTGAAACTGGCTTATTGATGTGAGGTGAGAATGGAAAGACAGGTCTGATGTGAAACGCTGTGGATCCCAATCTTATCTATTAAAAGCAGGAAAATTAGGCTAAAAATTCCATTCAACAAAATGTAAAAAAAAAAAAAAAAACTGGACAAGACTGAACCAGACTTTGTGAAAAAAAAAATTCTGGTTCAACATGTCTCAATTTGTCTTCCCCATGTTTGTCCCCTCTGAGTGCTTCTCCAAGCAAGATGTATTAGTTCTTGTTGTATGGTGGGAAAAATACTAATAATGTCCTTTTTTACAAGTTGTTTCTCCAGACTTAATACTATGACCTCTGTACTTTACATTCAATGTAATTATCAGTTTGTAATCTTTAATTAGTTACTTATCCTTTATCAGTTACTTGTTAATAATTTGTTAATTTCCATCCCCATTTTTTGTATGCTGCTTCTAAAAATGTATTGTTTTATGTCTGCAACATTTCAGAATGGATGTCGACACAGAACGTGCAGTGATTTTTATTTTATCTTTTTAAATGACAGCTGTAAGAGTAATTACAGTATTAGATAAAGTGTGTATTTAACATATAGTGCATTTTTTCCATGTCAAAATATGACCTGAAATAGAACTGATTGTTAAGTTCATTAGAAAAGTTATGTGGTTCAGGGGGACTTATTTAGATAATGATACTGCTTTAGGTTTTGTGTGAAAATAGTTTTTCTGATTGCTTATGCTGAAAACCAAAAATTTTTATCTGTCGTTTTAAACGTTATTTCATTTTGGCATTATATTACTGCTTTTCTGCCAAATCCCCTTTTCAACAAAAATAAAAATAAAAATTTGACCTAACAAAAATGGTTGATTTGGTCTATAAAGTGTATATTATCATAATCAATACTATTAGCAGTGGGAAATAAAAATGATATCATTTGTCTACTATTACACATGTATTGATTAGTAATTTACATTTTGTTTGATTTGTATTTATTTTGTTGTATCTACGTCTTCTGCAAAAAATCTGTTTATTTTTTGCATTATGAATAATACAGTCATACTTTTTTTTTTTTTATCTAGTGTGCATTTTTCTACATTCTACTGCTGAGCATAAAGCCAGAAAACGTGAGGCGGCTGAGAGTCACAAGACGACAATCAGAGGATTCCAGCAACAGAAAGGAAAGAAAAGCACTCCTATCTCGCTGTGCAGCTGAGACCCATGTAAGGATACATTGGGCCTTGAAGGCCTTGGGCCACAGCCAAAGAACTGTGGATCTGCTCAATGAGCGACTGCCGCATTCAAAGAACACAAAGAGCAACGAGAGTGCAGCGAGCTTCACCTGCGTAAACACCTAGGTACAGGTCAAGGTCCAGCTGCTGAGGGAAGTTGCCATTGAGGTGCTCAGTCACAGCGGCGTGCTTCTGTTCAGAGGCCCTGCGTGTCAGCCGCCATACACCCAGAAATCCACAGCAAAAAATAAACACCACAAAGATAATAGAAAAAGCAAAAAAAAAAAACACCACATCAGGGAATGAACACAACACATATCTTATATTGTGAAGCTCAAGGTTGGTTTCAGTGAGCAACAGACAAAGTCAAGAGAAACAGTTTAGTGCAGGCAGTTTCTATGAGATCCTCAACCATTTTCAGTCACAGAGAAAAAATGACTGTTTGCCTTACAAAACCATTAACTAAGTGAAATCTTACCAATGCGCAAGCCACCAGTCCTGAAGAACAAATGTTATCTAAACATAAAAGTAGGAGATTTTTATTCAGCAGGAACTTTATACATAGAATACTTCAAATAATAAATACATAAACCCAAGGCTTTGATAAAAAAATACAAAGAATTAATGAAATGATAAACTCACCTGAGCAAGTCCATTAAGTAAAATGAGAAATAAGAGGACCAGGAGGTTGGCACCTGCCAAGAAATACTTCACATACATACTCAGGCCGACCTTTCCTTCTAAGCGGCTTTCCTCCTCTATTGGTTGCCCTACCTACACGCAGAAATGATAATTTAAGTGTCACTCATCTTCCCCCAAAAAACATGTAAAAAATTCACATGAAGAGAAGCTGGAAATTGTGAATATCTGCTGCTCTCCAGTGGCTAAAATGTTGCACAGCAGAGTTATACTTCACCAGTGTCACGGAATCTCCTCCATCAATCAGAGAGTACAGAGAAGAAGAAAGGGAGGACATGGAGGAGTTGTCAGAGAGGGTGTAATGAAAGGTGCCAGGTCCAGGCAGTGGGGTCACGTCCTGCCTCTCCTCCTCCTGATCCTCCTTAAGAAGGGAGGTAAAGTCTATGCCAGAGCCCTGCAGCTCACTGTAGGTGCCTTGGGTAATCATCTGGCCCTGAAAAAATAAAACAAAAAAGTATTTAAAAAAAGAAGATTATTTCGGGGACGAATTTAAAGTTAAATCACAAAAGTCTGAGACTTGAAATCTTGAGGTAGATCAGTAACCTGACATTTAATCAAGCATGGATCTTAATGTAAATCTAATGGTATGTTAATCTTGAGTAAGAATACCAGGGTTTTATGTTGTTGGGTTACTTTGGCAAGGTTGTCAAATGTTTAAATGACAGGAGCTATTACTCCCCAATAAAGATGTAGAAGCCTTCATTTAGCCAGCAGCTGATGGAAGGGTGCTAAAGCTCCAATGTGAAGTGAACTTCTAAAACTAAAGAAAAATGCGAATTTGTGGCGTTTCCATTTAGTTTGATGCAAATTAACCAAACGATACAAAGCACAATGTTTCCATATATGGTCGTCTGTATACTATCATCACTGGCTGTAATAAACAGGATGTAGTCGATGCAATCTAGCAGCTATGGATTAACAGATCAAACAGATCGAAGTTGTTCTTACATTAACATGTCAGCTAGTAATGGCAAAGTTGCTTCCAGCCATGTCTACCCGCATAATAGGAACATCAGGAAAGACACCGACAGTAAAACCAGTAGAAAACTGTAAAGCAGGCATTTCTTTGCAGATTTTGGATTCTTTTCTCATTCTGACATTTTGAGCAAGTTTTTCCTGATGCAATACTTTAAAATGTGCATTAGAAAACACTGATGTTAATGCACCTTATGGATCAGACTGACAGAGGAATATCTGGTCACTTTTTCTGGCATCTCAAAAAGGACTTAAAAATGTAGAAAAATTACGCTTCCCCACCATCCCACAAAAGACACTCACACATTAAAGGTATAGAGGAGGCTATTCTTTTCTGGATGGATCATCATAATAAGTGGTCCTCCTAATTGTCAATCATTCTAGTGATATGTTTACATAAGGCCGTTCTACGTGCTCCTCCTCAATTTTACTTACCGGTGGTGAGTCTTAACCTGACAACAGCCAGATGCATGTCTCGCTCCGCCCAGCTCCACTCACATACATCTGGGAACCCGCCATAGGAATTGCCTTTACTGAAGGCTGGGCCTTATCAAAACTCCTTGCATATGATTGGATAAGCCACTTGTCTGTCATCTTTATTGACATGCTATTTCAACCACTCACACCGAAGCTAACCCGTGACGCTGTGAGAGGAGGAGCCATTTGGTAGATCAAGCTCTTGTCAAATCCGGTCGGGAGAAGGGCGAAAACATCGTTTCCACCAACAAAAGCCTTCAAAGCAGTTCTCTGATGTTCTTTTAATGAAACAATATCAGATAGATTGGACAACACAGAAGAAATAGCAGCATCATTGCTAACGCTTGCTTCCTCAATGCGAGCCGCCATTGTTGTTGGAATCTCACGGTCGCTTCTCCACTCCAGGACACACCCACCCTGCGTCCTGATTGGACAGACCATAAATTTGGTTGGGGAAATCACTTTCAATGAGCGGGTTCCCAGATGTATGTGAGTGGAGCTGGGCGGAGCGAGACATGGTTAGGTGAGTCTGGCATTGTTGAAAAATTTGCTAATCTTCTTTTGGAAAGTAAGCTTGTATGAGCGATGCAAACAGAAACTTTTAAACAGAGCTTGCACGAGGAGAAATTGGCTTGTGCACGCTCACACGCGTTTAATAGGCGAGCACTCTCGAGAGCGGGTACAGGGTTGTGCATGTGCATTTTTTTTTTTAAGTGGAGAGGGAGATAATTTTCAAAAATTTGCAAAAAAATCCTCCACTATACCTTTAGTGACTACAGAGTCAGAAAAGCACAAACCTCCTTTAAAAGCACAATCTGATCTGCAGCCTTAAGATATTGTAGTTGATGAGTTACGAGAATACGAGGCTTTTTTCTCAGGAGCCCACAAATGCACCTGCAAAGCAAAGAAAAACAAAATCTACACACCAGTTGCATGGCAACACTTATCATTAAAAAACACTGCCTACATAATTCCATATGAAAAATGACAAAAACAAAGTCAAAAAAGGAAAATCTGTGTTCCTCGCTGCTGCTTCGAAAGACATTGCGAGAAGATGTCACAACTGGGATATATTGCTGCTAAAGGTTGAATCATGGAGTGTGCTTAATCATTGCTATGTAGGTTTTATCATTTTTTTATGTCTTTAAAGCTGAATAAAGAATGGCAGAAAAAAAAATGAGATTTTTTTTTAATTAAGTTATATGAAAAATTTAGAACACGATGAGCAGGGGTTTTATTTATGAAGCTTGCATATCCTAAAAGTCCTAAAGGTTCAATGCATCACTTTCCAGGCAAAGGATGTGATCTTAAAAAAACAAATGTGTTGGGAAAATGTACAGCCCTTCTGACCCACATGTATGCTCATTTTAAAGCTAGGGAGAAATGATGACGTAATTTATCATAATTCCTCTCAGACGTTGGATTTTACTTTAGATTAAACGCTAATCATACATTGATCTGATCATAAGCATTTAAACCAACTGTGTGATACATGTTTGCAATAATAAGCCATATTTATATACAATGACCAGTCGCATAAAAACATGTCACATTTGTCCTTCTCCCCTACTATGTTGCCTTTGTTAACAGTGAAGTTACAATGAACAGCCAGTTTATTGGAATCCAAAGTGATTCAGGAGGTGCTTTGCTCGGACCATTTATGGCTGAATGTGGGCATGGTTTTATAAATCTATTAAAAGTGTATGTATGCCCAAGCAAATGTAGAGATCCTGCACAATCCAGATAATTAATATCATCAAATACTGAACCATAAATCCCAATATCAAATATGCATTTATAGACATTTTCTCGACATGTCTTCTTTTCTAGATGTAAAAGGTTACTAACAAGACTTACTCTTCAAAGAGATGCCGTCCCACTTCAGCATCCACAGCACTGAGAGGGTCATCTAGTAAGTAGATATCTGCATCAAGATACACTGCCCTAAAAGCCCATAAAAAAGGAGGACATTACATTCACTGGGATAAAAGGGGAAGGGAAGCTCCTTTACAAGCGTTTAGCGTACCTTGCTAGGCTGACTCTGGCCTTCTGTCCTCCACTGAGGTTTGCCCCTCGGTCTCCAACCCCCACCAAGTCACCCCCAGGCAAAAGATCAATGTCCTGAAAGAGAGTAAAGAGTCAAACTTAGAGGTGAGGGATGATTTATTTTAATATCTGGTTCATTTTTATTGTCACTTATTAATATAAACACAAATTAATCTCTAAATAAACACTGCCTTACTCTGTTAAAGAGAGTACAGCAATACATTTAAACATGTAATAAAGATATTCTCACTCTCTTTAGGGCACAAGCTCTCAGGACTCGATCATATTTCTTTGGGTTGAATTCATGTCCAAACACAATGTTGCTTCGGATGGTTCCAGGTAAAATCCATGGCTGCTGCGGTGTGTAGGCTACCCGTCCTTTGACCTTGACCACACCCGTTTCCTGACATAGTTCTCCCAGGATGGCATTTAAGAGTGAGGACTAACATTAATAAAAATCAAGATTTAAATGGTGAGGCTAATACTCTGAACCTATGAAATTCTTTTTTGAAGGGAAAGGTGGGAGTTGGGAGGTTAAGATCACAAAACTAGTTTTAACATACAGTTTCTATCAGTGCACATGGGCCAAAGTATTTCAGTGCCTGCAAAAATATTTAAAACTGTGAAAACTTAACAGACCTGACCTTTCCAGCTCCAACAGGCCCAATAATCACCAGTAGCTGCTCAGGTCTCACAGTGAAACTCACTTTCTGTAAGGTTGGAGCTTCAAGGTTCTGCAAAAAATACCAAATAACAATAATTAACATTTATTTTATTTTGGGGGGGGAAATACCCCCAAAACAAAAATGAAAGACTGCATTTCCTTCCATGAATTCTTACCTTATCCCAGTAACACTTCAGATCTTGCACTTTCACCATATATTCTCTCTTATCTGCCACAGAAAGTCCAAGATGCTGAGGAGCAACTTCATCAAGCAGAAGAAATTTCTATTGTAACAAAAAAAAAAGTTGGAGGGTTCTTTTGACTTTAACGAACATCGTTTAAAAATATACTGGTATGTAAAAAGATACCGAATGTGTCTTCAAATGTAAAATTTTCAGCTACAGGGAAATGTACAATTAAACATTATGAAGCCTTAAAGAATAACATAGACAGGCTACATTTGGAATCAAGCTGGAGGAAAAAAATCTCCAATAATATACTGAATTACTCCCTGAAAGTATCAATATTATTTTACTAAGGTAAGTTTGTCTTTTGTATCTTGCTAAATTTGTTTCATTTTTAAATTTCGAATGTTGCCTGAATTTTTACATTGTTACTGTTACTTTTGTTGTATTTGTTTTGGTTGCTACAATTATTACATTGGTTACTAAATAGCTTAGACACACATGCCAATTTGTAGCTTTCTTACCGTACATTGTTACATTTGTAACAGCTTTTATACTTCTTACATTCCGTTTGTCACATTTTATTTATTTTTATTTGCAATCTTTATTATATGTTACTTTTTTCTACAGTTGTTACTTTGTTACCTTTGTGATTTCATTACAGTTCTCACTTTGCCTCATTTGTTTTATTTGAAACCTTATGGCATTTGGGGCACATTTTCACATTTATTGATTGGTTTAATGGATTATTGATCATGAAATTTATTTTTAAGATAAATTTCATTTATTATTTTTTTCTATTTAATTATTTTTGAAAGTATAAAGACAGGAAATTGGATTAGAGAGAGAGGAAAGACATGAGCAAATATCACAAGGCCTTGGGGGGGAAAAAAATAAAATAAAATGTTCCTACAATTTCTATGTCTGTTGCAGTTATACTTATTCTGCTTTGTTCATTATTTACTCCAGTTGCACCCATTAACTCTTTGAATATTGTTAATTTTATATTCATATTATTTTACTTTTTTTATATTTTTGTTAATTAATATATTTTACCAAAAATCGTGCAACAGTAAATAAGTTCTTTATAAGACTTTTAACTAAGTCAAAAATGTTTAGGTGCATATCATGTTCTAATATTTCCCAAAATATCATCCACTCAGTTATGTTCTTCCTTTAAATTTCCTGTTTCAAGCTTAATATTTCATGAGGAATAAAAAAGATTAAAGTTAAGTTGTATCTTAGAAATGTGTTTGTGTACAGTATAAAAAAGAAAGCAACGGCATCTATGGTAGGTGCTCCTATGTTCCATCTTCCATTTACCTGAATCCGCTGGATGCTGATGAGTGACTCTGAGACTTTTTCAATGGCGTAGGGGAAAAAAAGGGTGATAGTTAGTCTGACCGCCCCATAGAGGGAAACAGCCATGAAGAGTTTGCTGGCTGATAGCCTGTTTCCTGTGAGAACATAAACGCAGACGGTGAAGAAGATGACTATCTTGCTGGCCACAAAAAAGGATGCCATGTTCAGGCCACGAAGGTAAGAGCTTCGCATGATCTTGGAGATTTCCATTCTGCAAAAAGGTAATATGGCAGAATATACTACTTTAAAGTGAATAACAGGTCTGAGTAAAAGGAAAGGCCTTAATTTGATGCTTTGCCACCACAAACTTTATAGCTTAATCATAAGAAACCATAAAGAACAAAAAAACAGAAAAAAAATATAGAAATTACCGCACCGTCTGACTTCATCCACCAGTGCACTGAAAGGCTCCTCCCACCCGTACAACTTTATAACTCGGATTCCAGATATTACTTCACTCATCGTGCGAATTCTCTCGTCGGTTAACACTGCTGTTTCACCACTGAAATAAAAGGCAAAAATTGCAGAAATGGAGTGTTTACAACAAGACCAAATAAACCAATGTAGTATGTATTTAAAATAAACCTGAGAATGGAGAAAAAACGTCCAAACATGGTCTGTACTGGCAACAGAATGAAGAGGACCGACATTCCAGCAAGACAAGATGGGCCAATAACATATAGCAAAAGCAATATCACAGATACTGCTTGAAGTGGGCCGACCCATATAAAGTGCAAGTATAAGGTAACCTGCAGAGAGGTTGACAGGAGACACAATAAAAACAAAGCATTTCACCAACAGCTCAGATCAATCTAATAAACAGAATGATGCAAATATGATGCCACCGTTTGTGTTGACTGGTTGATTGAACCCCAAAAATCCAAGGTCAAAGTGTGTTATTCTTCTTTTCTGTCACAGTCTTGGTTTTGTTAAGTTTTCTTATGAGTTTTCAGTTTTACTTTGCTCCGTGTTTTCTAGTTTTAGTGGTTTAATTCTTATTTTGTTGTGTTTTCTGGTTATTTTCAGTCTCCAGGTTTTTATTTGTTGCCCTCTGCTGCCCTCTTGTGGTCTCCTTTTTACCTAGCTACTTCCCCGTTTCTGCTCTGTTCATACCTGCTCCCAATCTGCTCGTTAGCCCTCTCTTTGTTTCAGTCTCCCATAAATACTCTCTCTGTGCAGTTCTTCAGTGCTGGTTCCTCATTTAACTTCCTCCAACTCTGTCTCACTGAGTTTTCCTGCTCATGATTGTTTTCCCCAGATGTCTCCATGGTTTCTGTTCTGTTTGGACTTTTATCATGTTTGATTTTTGGATTCCTGCCTCAGTTGTTTGTTTCTACTTCGTTAAATCATCAAGAAACTCACCTCTGCCTCCCTGCCTCTTCATTTGGGTCCACAAACCACAACCAAATCCTGTCATTTTCTTCCAAATATTTGACTTGACTGTCAGTTTCAAGTTATTTCGTAGATAAATCTGTTTAGGTTTTTTTGGCATTTTTAAAGGGTTCCAACATATTTTGTGTGCATGTAGCTATAACAATAACTCTTATTTTTGTATTACTTTTATCAATAAAATTATATAAAATAATGGTGCAATTCTTATATTTCATTTGAATGTAGATAGGTAAATGTAATCACCTCATCAAATCTGTTGACATCGTTGGATAAGAGGTTGACTATCTGACCTGTGGTTGTTTCGGCCATTGCTGAGCTGCTGAGACAAAGAGCCTTTGCAGAACAAAGGTGTTACATCAAGTCTAGCTGACAGAAATAACGCAGCTGCTGAAAACAGAACATCAAATTTTTCTTCTGTGTAACATGATGACAGACCTTCCTATAGATCATGTGGCACATGGCCACGCGGATCTTCATGCCTGCCCGCTGGACTCGGTAGAAGTACAGATGATGAAGCAGAGCGACCCCAATGGTGGCCAATGAAATGCCGAGAGCACAGCAGTAAGCCTCAGAGACCGAAGCTGGCTGAGCAGTGTCATAACTCTCAAAGTACTCTATCAGCTTACCGAGTAGCACTGGCTGAATGACTTTGATAACTTCCTGATGGAAAACCAAGAGTAAACTGAAATGCATGAGTTTTAACTAAATAATTTGTATATACTGTGTCCTGAAGATTGTGCTCCATTTTTTTTCCCAATTTTGTTACATTACAAATACAAACATCCATACACTTCAAAAGGAATTTGAGTTGTAGACCAACAAAAGTAGTGTAAGTGTGAAATGGGACGGAACATCATGCATAGTTCAACATCATTTTAAAAAGCAAAACATAAATGTGACTGTAAGACAGAAAGAACTGTTCAATATGCACTATTGTAAACTATTTTGGGTGTGAAGAAATATGTAACATAGGCACACCATTGTGGTGTTACAGTAATGCATGGGTAATACTCTCCTTCAGCAAGAACTGGAAAGCTGGCTAAACTTAATAAGAAGATAAATGGATTTTAATACAAGGTAACACTGGAAGAAAATGTCAGATGTTCAAGGAACTTTAAGGAACAGTTCAAAGTTCAGGCCTAAGTGTAGTTGAAAATGCACTCTCTACGTATCCAGTCTGACTGAGCTTGAGTTCATGATTATTTATACAAAACAATTATAGAGAAAAAAAACAGTCCTGAGATATACAAAGCTTCCTACAAAATAATCTCATATTTTTCTATGTTTCTTTACAAAAAGTATTTAACAACCATGTATTTTGCTTATTTTCTTTTTGTTATAATTTTGCACTATGGTGTTGATATATTATCTAAAATCCACCCCAAAGTACAGTATTTAAATGTTTTAATTTGTACTGTAACAAAATGTGGAAACATTTGAGCATGGAAAATCTACAGCAATCCATTTGATCTGACTACATAACCTTACCTCTATAAAGATGTATGGTCCAATTAATAAGTAGGGTTTCCAATAGCACTGGATGAGAGCCTTAGTAAGTCTGGGTGGCCGGAGATATTTTGCTGCCTGCTGAACTTCTTGGTTCCAATACCTTCAACATAAAAAACAGAGAAGAAGAAAAGTATTTACTGGGGCGTGCTTTCTGGAAAATATGAACTTTATGAAGATATTGGTAAAGTGCCAAAAAGTTGCACTCAAGTAAGAGTAACATCTCATATATTAAGAGTAAAAATAGCAAAACAAAAATAAAGTGAAAATAGCAAAAAAAGATATTAGAATAGTAAAAGAGTATTTGTAAACGGGCTACTCAAATACCGAGTAACTCATCAAACCATCTGATATTTAAATTATCATTATAGAAAGACGGCAGTTTGAATAGGTTTAAATATACAACAGACTTGCGATTTAGTACCATCAATTGTTATGTATAGAGGGCTTTAATTAGGGCTTTAAAATGGCTTAAGTCTAACAACATTTGTTGGACATAGACAGACAACTTTTATTGTCATTTTGTATGCACAGAGTATAGTACAGCTTTTCAGACAGTAAATGAACATTTCCATAAAGTGCAGCAGTGATCAAATGTGAAGTGTGGGAGAAAAAACATGGTGCAAAATATGCATTGATATGAAAGTTAAAGATGCTGAGGAGCATTAAATTATATGGTGCAAATATGCAGTATTTTTGATATGGTGTTAGTATGATGTGGAGTTTGTGAAATAATCTAGAGTTTTTTTATGGATGAGTTTTAGTCTAAAATGTTACATTTTATTCATTGTGCTCTTTTTGTGTTGCTCATATTATCTTAAAACCAGTTGCCTGTGTTAATTTCCCTCCCTTATAGGTACAGTAAGATGTTGTGTGGAAGTATATGCATCATTGTCGATGCAAAATTAGTTAAATGTTTCTTTTTAAAACTTTGATTTCTCCAAAGTAAAACAAACTAACAAATAGTATATAACCGTTCATGTCCAATGGGGACCACAAAATAACCCCGACCACAAAACATTTGGGCCCCAAATTCAGAGTTCTGCTGTCATTCAACTCTGCTCCAGTTTATGGTGTACTTTTACAGCCACAGTTAAAAATCACAGCCAATATCTTTATTTCCACTACTTTTCCTCATTCAAAACGCCTATAGACACATATATGTACAGAAAGTGTTTTGTGTCAATTAAATGGTTTCTTTTTAACAGAATTGTATCCTGTACAAATATGATATAATTTGTAAACTGTGAACTGACTGGAAAAAGTCCTGGTATGCTGAGGGGTAAACATTTAGAACTGATTGAACTTCCTTTCATCTGTATCTCTCTGCATAAGTTAGCGGCCATGTGTTTGCCTAAAGTCTGCTTTGAGCCATAAAAATAAACTGCATTTAGCCAAACATTTTAAGCCACTATATAATTTAGCTGCATGGTTTGTTTGATAAGCAGATGTGCCAGGGTGAGATTTCACTTGAAATTAGGCTGAGTTGAACAAATTTACCATTTTTACAACCTCTGTGACGGTCATATTGAGTTTAGTTTAATTTTCAACTTTCAGAATTTGCAATACAAAATAGATAGAAGCAGGCATACAATGAGAAGCAGACATATAAAAGGAAACAAATAATTACCTCCACCAATGGCCATGTCCAGGAAAGACACAGCCAGGCAGATGAACTCTAAACCAGTTCCCATATTAGAGGGTGAAAGCGAGGACAACATTTTGTAATTTTATTTGCCCATTTTTTAGCTGCTCTGAAACAGATTTTCTAGATTCACTCTTATCTGCAAAGTTTTTCTGGTTGCTGTTAATGGGCTGCTGTTTTTTTTTTCTTATTTTGTTTTTACATTAACATTTTTATTCTATTTGAATAGGCCTTTTTATTAATGTTTTTATTTGTTTTTTTGCTGCTCCCTTGAACTTTTAGAATTCTGTGCTATTCATCAGCTAGTTATCTTTCTCTTGTCTCCGTTTTCTTTTTCGCAGTCACAGATAAATTTTCCCACTTTTGGGTAAAACATGATATTTCTATTCTAAATTGTGTTTAATTTTCTAATTGCTATATTTATAAAAAAAAAACATTGTCTTTTTTGCCACCTAACCTTTGCAGCTCTGATTACCTTTACTTAGCTAGACTCTGGCTCTTGAAGGGGAAAAGCTGCAGACCACTTATCTAAATATAGATGGGCTCATGTCCAAGCAACATGTTCCCACTGAGGGCACGTATCAAAAAAGATAGAAGGATATTCCATGTTTGGAAGATGTCCAGGCTTAAGGTGCTGGCCAGGGCATTTAGAGGAAAGAGAAAACAGTTTTACTAGAACACTTGGATTTTCACTGTGGAAAGGAAAGTTTATTTCAACAGAGCACTAGGATAATAGACCCATTATTATTAACATCTATCAGGAAATCACAAGGTCATACACCCATAAACCTTAATGTTGCTTTGGCTTCCAGAGAGCAACCTGAGATCTAAATCAGATACAGTGTAGATATTAGATTACTTCTTCTATGTTATTTCAACAGAACACATGCACAGGGATTCTCAGAGAGTAAAGTATTAGGGGATAATTATCAGGGCCATGTGTTTTAGAAACAGAGAAGAGAGGCAGGTGTCAGTATTTAGGGAAGCCTTGAAAAACAGGGAATAAAAAAAAAAAAAAGCCAAACCATTAAATCCATGAAAGAGAGCCCAACGTTTAAGGGATGGCAAAATAATGAAGTACGTACAGTAATACCATAGAAAAATCTAAATATTTTTATATATAAGTTTTGGCAAATCAGAGTTGTCCAAATAATAGGGGGCATATGTAATTTCAGCTTTAATTGTATTTTAAATGGAAATATTACTACATTTACTACTAAAAAAAATTTCTTTTTCAAATTCATTATGTTTAAAATGATTAAATGCAGAAATAGAAAGCTACCACTTTCTACCACTTTATGCATTCCATATTGATTAATACTGTAGGTTGCTGTATTGCGTCTGTAGTTCTATATTAGTTGGTTGTGCTGTTCTTTGTACATCTCTCTTTGCAGGTGATGAAGTAGACTGATCAAGTTCTGTTAATTTCTCTTTTGTCTTCTCTTCCTTTCACATTTTCTTCCCCTTTGTAGTGTCCACATAACATAAGTTATCCCCTACCTATGTAAACCATAATTAAACTACACTATATTGCCAAAAGTATTTGCTCACCTGCCTTGACTCACATATGAGCTTAAGTGACATCCCGTTCCTAATCCATAGGGTTCAATATGACGTCGGTCCACCCTTTGCAGCTAGAACAGCTTCAACTCTTCTGGGAAGGCTGTCCACAAGGTTTAGGAGTGTGTTTATGGGAATTTTTGACCATTCTTCCAGAAGCGCATTTGTGAGGTCGCACACTGATGTTGGACGAGAAGGCCTGGCTCTCAGTCTCCGCTCTAATTCATCCCAAAGGTGTTCTATCGGGTTGAGGTCAGGACTCTGTGCAGGCCAGTCAAGTTCATCCACACCAGACTCTGTCATCCATGTCTTTATGGACCTTGCTTTGTGCACTGGTGCACAGTCATGTTGGAAGAGGAAGGGGCCAGCTCCAAACTGTTCCCACAAAGTTGGGAGCATGGAATTGTCCAAAATGTCTTGGTATGCTGAAGCATTCAGAGTTCCTTTCACTGGAACTAAGGGGCCAAGCCCAGCTCCTGAAAAACAACCCCACACCATAATCCCCCCTCCACCAAACTTTACACTTGGCACAATGCAGTCAGACAAGTACCGTTCTCCTGGCAACCGCCAAACCCAGACCCGTCCATCAGATTGCCAGATGGAGAAGCGCGATTCGTCACTCCAGAGAACGCGTCTCCACTGCTCTAGAGTCCAGTGGCGGCGTGCTTTACACCACCGCATCCGACGCTTTGCATTGCACTTGGTGATGTATGGCTTGGATGCAGCTGCTCGACCATGGAAACCCATTCCATGAAGCTCTCTGCGCACTGTTCTTGAGCTAATCTGAAGGCCACATGAAGTTTGGAGGTCTGTAGTGATTGACTCTGCAGAAAGTTGGCGACCTCTTCGCACTATGCGCGTCAGCATCCGCTGACCCCGCTCCGTCAGTTTACGTGGCCTACCTCTTCGTGGCTGAGTTGCTGTCGTTCCCAAACACTTCCATTTTCTTATAATACAGCTGACAGTTGACTGTGGAATATTTAGGAGCGAGGAAATTTCACGACTGGATTTGTTGCACAGGTGGCATCCTATCACAGTTCCACGCTGGAATTCACTGAGCTCCTGAGAGCGACCCATTCTTTCACAAATGTTTGTAAAAACAGTCTGCATGCCTAGGTGCTTGAATTTATACACCTGTGGCCATGGAAGTGATTGGAACACCTGATTCCAATAATTTGGATGGGTGAGCAAATACTTTTGGCAATATAGTGTATGTACATTTATAAATCAGCAAAGAACTATAACGAAAGCTATAATGCTCCACATGTGAGAGTAAAATCTGTTGGACTATTTCTTTCAAGTAAGTTTTTTATGATTTGGTTTTTTATTTGTTTTCTTCTTCTTCTTTTTTTAAGAATGAATTAAGTGTTGGATCTCAAGCACCTAAGCTTATGTCTTTGATTAATGATAGACCTGAATACCTTAAGGTTTTGCAGACACCAAGAAAAGAAAAGATCAAACAGACATAACAGAGAGTCAGGAAGCCCGTTACCATTGCAGCTCCTCTCCAAGTCGCTCAGACGCATCCTCTGGAAGAACTCTATACATGTCGTTTTCTTCAAGACGCCTCTTGTAGCCAATTCTGAATAGGGGGTTCAACCAGCTAAGGATTAAAGACATGACAACACCCACAGTAAGTTGAAAAGTATTTAAAAAATCTAACAATTGAAATAAACATTATTGCAACATTTTCAAACATAATGGTAATGGCAGGACATAAATATTTAAAAAAGGGTTTACTTGTGTGTGCGTGTGTGTGTGTGAGGATGATGATGATATATCTGCTTTTAGGGTGCCTTACTATGTACTTTTGTCTTTTTCTACCTACTTGCCAAATAGAGCAAGTTCCCCAAAAAGTCCTAAAACGTATGTGGCTGGCAGTTTGCTAAAAAATGCAGAACAACTGGGGAAAATACAAGCTAATTAAAATAAAATAGGCTTATATATATTAAATTTTAAAGCTGAATGGATCTTTGTGGGGAGGCCATTTTAGATAAATAGCTGTTCTTCCAAATGGAGATCAAGCAATATCTGCCACCCCATGCATAAGGCTGTTGTTGAACTGGAAAGCTCTTTCAGTGACAGACTGCTGCACCTTAAATGCACCAGGGAGCGTTATCACAGATCCTTCCTCCCAGCAGCTGTAAGACTTCCTAACATCTCTTTTACCCAACAACCTCAATAAGTTGTTACATTGATTTTTGCACAGTTTCTGTCTTTGTCAGTTAAATAACATGCTTCTGTAATTTTTTATTCATCTCCAGTGTTGCTGCTATTTTCAAATATCCATTCATGTAAAATATCCACGGCTCTTTATTGGTTATTTATTCTCCAGATACACAGTATTTAGGTAGTAAAAAAACACTGTACAACACAGTATTAAATTTTTTTTTCTTAACTCTGTCACTTATTCTGTTATTTTTATACACTTTTGTAAGGTCCAAATTGTGTGACCACTTTTGCTTTAACCTTTTGCTGCTGTTGTAACACCACAATTTCCCCACTGTGGAACAATAAAGGGATTTTCTACTCTATCATGGCTGCATTATAAATATCTTACACTCATATCTCTGATGTGATGCCCTATCTCTTAAATGTAAGGTTCTTGGTGATGTTTTTGTAGTGAAAAATATTTGGTGATGGTAATACTAAATTTTGAGTATTAGGTCAATTTAATTAATTCATTAATTAGATAATTTTGTGTATATGGTGTGAAATTCAGGTGCTGCACATGACGAACAGTAAAGACCCATTGATGGAGAACCAAGGCTTCAATTTAAGTAATATGTGAAGCATGCTATTGATAGTGTGCTAGCAACAAAATGATTAAAGTAGTTATAGTAATGGTGGACTTGGGGATGCTGAGTTGAGAAAGTTCAACATTTGCCACTTAAAATACTCCACTGACAAAAAACACCATAAAGGTGTGGGAACCTTAACCCCTTTGTATCTAGATACAGAGACTGTTTTTAATCCATCCATTTTTGATGCCCTTTGTAGGGTCCAGGCTGCAGGTATCTAACTACAAGTGTCTTCAGGGGAGAGGACGGGTAGGAGTTTTTGTTATAATATTCACATAATGAGCAGAATTAATGATTTTTTTTTCAGTATATTTAAGTCTAAACAAATGTTGATAGGTTGTGTAGATGTAGAGTTAAACCCAAATATTAACTTTATACTTCCTAAACTGATACCACATTCCCTGATTGTCCATCCATCCATCCATCCATCCATCCATCCATCCATCCATCCATCCATCCATCCGTCTTCTTTACACGCTCAGGAAATCAAAAACACAAATTTATTTTGTAATTATATTAAAAAACAAAACAAATAAAATAAACAAGATTATGCTTTTAGACAGCCTAGGAAAGCCCATGTAATGATGCTTCTGAATAGTTCAATCACACCCCTTGAGTTAAAATAAAGCATAGCTCTGGGTGTATTTGAAAGCCACCACTCAACCACAGTACAACATTGTGAGGCATATGGCAAAAAATTCAAAGAAAAAGCAAAGGTATCAGGGACAAATTTATAGACCTCCACATTTCAAGTCAGTTTTTTTGGTACAATTTCTAGATGCCATGTAAAAATGTTATATGCAAGAGATAAATGTGTGAATAAACAACAGAATCAAAACTCAAAGACCTTTTGAAGATGCTGGCAGAAGCTGGTAAGAGTGTCTCATATCCACATTAAAGAACTTCTATAGGCACATTTATCTCTGGATACAGGTCCTCTGAGTTCATTAAACTAAAATCGAGATTTTTTTTTTTTTTTTTTTTTACTGAGAGGGTGAAAAGAAAATCAATTGACAACATTCTCCAATCCTTGAAGTAAAGAGGTATTATCAAGTCTGTTTAGTTGCTCTGGTGTTTGTTTTTAACTGGTGTGAAAATATGGAAGCAACATTTAAAGACAGGTTGTTACAACTTGGATACAAATTGCTCTTCAGGGTGATTCTGAGCATTATACTCCAACTGTTGGAAAGTGGAAATAAAAGTAAAGTTTTAGAGATATTTTCCCTAATTTCCATTTCTTATATAAAATATTAATAGCACAACTTCAGTTAGGAAAGTATTGCTTAGGTTAATTTAGTAAATAAATCTATTTTTCAAGCATGTTTATTTGTTTATCATGCAATAGAGGATTGCATCGTTTTTTTTTATGCTATATTGATCAAACTTCTGCCATCATGGATCCAGGAATGGCTCTTTTCAATTTCCAAGCACACTGCAAGTCCTCAGGCTAAATAGGAGAGGACAGTTTTTTTTTCTTACCAGAAGAAAATCTTGGAGAGAAGATTAGCTGTTGCTGAAGGATTATCCTGCTTCTCCTTTTTCTCAGGTTCCATTGCCCTAACAGTAAAAGCTCCCCCCGGCAGGCTGATTCTGCAGACTATGTCCCTGAGAGGTGCAAACACTGCGACGACAACTGTTAGAAATTCTCCTACGTATGTGTCAGGATTTGTCCTAGTGACATTCGGGGCAGGATTACTCCTGGAGATTGGAAGCCGGTGCGCTGGCTCTGATGCGCAGAGGGACGCGCTGCGTGGCCCCGCCCACCGCGAGAGGATATGCTGATGCAGAGCTCCATCTTTCCCAGACTCTATGGGTTCTGCAACCTGAGGCTCTGGAACCCAGGGACGTGGCTAGACCTATTTTAGGGTGGCTGAAGTCATCCCTTCGTTGGTATTAGCCACCCCATAATTATTTTGCGATTTTTATTGTTATTTTTTTATTTATTGATTTTTTTTCCATATAACCCCAAACAATTGCAGTAAAGCACTGAAAACGAGCCACCAAGAAGGCAAGTTAATCTGAAGATAAGTTCCTGTTAGTTTATTTACAAACACAATTATTTATACAATTATTAATATCGTTAGGATATTCATTTCCTTCATTGGCTCCGCGTCCAGCGTCACGTCACGTGGTACACGGCCATCAACTGGACCATAGCAGCTGTGCAGTGCAGCAACAGCGCGCCCTTTGAATCTCCACACAGTCATCGAGCTTGATTAGGAAAGTTATGGTTGCGTGCAGATACATACGGTGAGTTTGCCATTTGATGTCAGCGGTTTACATTTTCTTCACTTTACCTGGAGTGAGGAAAGAGACAATATAGGCCTAATAGCTTGTCTGATTCAGTAGGAATTACGTTACCATGGTGAACAAAGTCAGTGGTGTGGGAAAACACGATGTTGTTGTAGCCTACTAGCATCATTATAATAGTTTTGTCACAGGAGCAGTGATGGGCAGTAGCGCCGCTACATGTAGCGAAGCTATTAGTTTAACTACATTTTCAAGTAGCTTGACCGTAGCGTCGCTGCTTTATTTATCAAGTAACTTTCCTGTAGCGACGTTATTGTTTTGATCAAGTAGCGACGTAGCGTCCACAAACGCTACAAAATCCAGGGCAAAACTAAGAAATGAAACCAGGTTTTCTATTTCTAAACAACAATCAGCCACAAAACTACTGTAAATAGCAGTTTCAGCTGACGCTTTATAAGTGGCGTAGTAGCACAGGCACACTCCGTAGGGTTAAACAAGCGCACCTTTTCCGAGGCTGTCGTTCTATTGGCTGGAAAGGTTGCTAGGCAACGATCCAACTGCAGTCTGAGAGAGCAAAACAAATCCGCAAGCAGAGCGTAACTGAGACCCGTGCAGAGCGGAGATGGAGGCAAGCGAGAGGAAAAAATATCTGTGATAATATAGAAAATATCTGTTTAAATCTGAGAGAAGAAACAAAGATTTTTGAGAGAAGAGAAAATATTTGAGAGAGAGCGCATGTTTTGAGTGTGAGCATTATAAGTTTTGAGTGCAAGAAGATGAAATTCTTTTCTCTAATTGAAGTTATGTGCTCTTGCATTATGGCAGGATAATTCTCCCATATCTATGTGCCACCAGTCTGATAGGGCGACACTGTGTGATATGGTAGTGCTTCCTTGGGTTGACTATAGTTCTAAGTTGTACGTTTCATATACTGTTGATTTTGTGTTTTCATTAATACATTGTACTTAAAAATACTTCCTTTATTTGCATTAAAACTTTGTCAGACTGATGTGAAAAAGTCTCAAGGATATCCTTCTTTGCAATGATGCTATTGCCTACTGTCCATTTATGCAACTTGTATTTTGTGGTTAAACTTTAGATTAAGCAGAAATCTATCAAAGATAATGCTGCATTTATTGTTAAGTTCCTCACATATATGTGTTTCTCTCTGTGCCAGGTGTAGAGAAAGACATGCCAAAGTCCAGGTCACACACACACCAAGCACACACACAGAAACAGGGTTATTGCAAAGCAGACAGGGGTTCCTGACAGGTTGTGGGTGCAGGGGAGATGGGGAAAGATGAATGGCCAGGTTAAGGGTTTATGAAGATGTTGGGAGTCTGTTGGTTAGACAACTGTCTTCTGTAGAAGGTTTCCATTATGATGAGTGGCGAACCACTTGCCTTCTTCCATTTATGCAGTAATGCATGGCACCTACCATTTACTCTTTGTAATTTAGCACATTTTAACTGGTGTAGTTTAGTTGGTGAAGTAGCATTAGTGAGGGAAGTGTTTCCCAGGTATGTTGCTCTTAAAATAATGAATTTATAGACAGCGCCTTAGAAAGTGCACTGAAAAAATATCTTACCTAGGGGCTAAGCCACCCATGTCTCTCAAACCTAGTGACGGCCCTGCTGGAACCGCATGTCATTCTTTGGGGCCTCAATGACTCTTAATAATGGCTAAAAATTGTATAAAACACTAACTAATGTAGCATAATACCAAATACCAGTCTTACAAGATTTAGTGGTTTTTAATAAAGAATATTTCAATTTAATTTTCACAACAGAATGACATTAAAAGAACAATAGCATAGAATAGAAGAATAGAATTCTACTTTATTGTCATTGCACTGTCACGGGCAACAAAATGTGGTTTGCATCTATCCAGAAGTGCTATCCAGGATATGAATATTATCACAGGTGTATGTACAAGCAAAAAGTAATAGTAAGGGACTGTAAAAAGTTGTACATAAATATGAATATGGAAGCTACATGTATAGATTATACAGAATATACAGGAATGTTAGGAAAAGGATTATATATGTATTAGTGGGTTTATAATACAAGATAAATATTGGCAGATAAGATTTACAGATTATATACAGATTGTATATGTGTGTGAGGGGAACAGTACATTGTACAAGAAATATATTTTATTATTATTATTATTATTATTGTATTTAATTTTTTTAACTGCACCCTATAGAAGAAAATCCATGCTTGATCTCAATGGCGTAATGACACAACAATAAGCAACATTATCTGGGTGGGCCCCATAAGAAGTACAACACTTTGAAAGAATGTGTTTATTTTGGGAAGTTTTTTTCTTCTTTTTTGTTTCCATTGCTGCTAACACATTATACATAACAGTTATGGTTTTAATCTACGGTCTGGATTAACCATAATTCTAAGCCGCAGTGTAAAAAATAAAATACTCAAATACATCGTTCTTTTAAGCTCTTTATTATGGTTTGAAACATATTAAATGAGTGTATTTTTTACCAACCGTCTAATGAACTATACACAGTTATTAACATAGTAATTAAAAGTACCACTGTCTGCTTTGCTACTGGTGTCATGTTTAAACAGCTCACCATCATGGGGAAATATGCCATATGTTGCGGTATAAATAAGGCTCGGTCAGGAAAGCTGTACCAATATCAGGTGGGTTTATGAGGAGTTTTAGCACCATTCCATCTGCTAAGAGACAAACTAGTCCACCATTGCGTAGGGGGCCTACAAGTTATCAGTCAACCCTTTTTTCCTTATTTTAAAAGCTAAGAAACACATATAAACTGATTGTTGTTTAAGGCAACAACAGATTTCCTATGGCAGATTTTTTACAAAAATAATAGGTTGTGTTTTATTAAAAAAGTCCTGTAATATTTTGTGACTCTAAACAATTGGTTCTGAGCTGATGAATATGTACCCATTAGGGCTTTCTGATTAGGGCTGTTAGGAAAACTATTGGCTGTGAACTCAACCCCCATATTTATTTATTTATGTGGAATTGGAAAGTCACTTTTTTGATATTAAATCAGATTTGCAAACACAAAATGTTATATGAGGCAGAAGCTAACACTCAACACTAATCCCAACCCACTGTCCCCATGGTGAAAGATAGTAGTTAAGAATTAATTATATCGGAAAATCCCGCAAATGAATGTCACAGTTACAATATCATTTGGGATATATGCCTGTTTTTTCCATGTGCTTCCATCCTATCACTTGACCTTTAGCATATTGTGTCTGGTATGAGCATCTTTTGTCCAAACGGATGAGCATAAGATTAGTTGGTAAAATGAAAGTTTTTCATGTGTTATAACTAGCCAAACTTTAATTCACTCCAAAGTATCCTTTTGATATGGATATAGCACACACCGATATTGTGATTTTATTATAGCTACAATATATAGAGCAACCTTAAAGCTACAGTGTGTAACTTTTAGCGACATCTAGCGGTCAGACTGCAGACTGCAGCAACATGAACATCTCCCCCCCACCGCTTCTCCCCCCCAACAGTATGGCGAGCGTTACGGGACAAAATGTCTTCCACGACGTCCGCGTCACCTACCTTCTCAAGTGATGAGGTTTGTTTACATAGATAATTTTACAGATAGTATTTCATTAGTCTGTGTAGGGTATAGATTTCATGTAAACTTAAGATAATAAATATACCCGTTATTTTTTCTACATCGTTGTGACGTTTTGGCGATCTCGCAATCGGTAGTTTGTTGGCTCTGCGCTGCCGTAGCGCAAAGATGTCTGCCTCGATGGCTGCGAGACCCGCTCTTATGTAATTATAAATAATGAATTCTAAGGCAACGCAAATATTAAGGTTAAGAGGCTGAGCTCGTAGATGATGATAAATAACATAGTTATGTATAATATATTACATTTCTGACTGTATATCCCTGTAATTATTACACACTGTAGCTTTAATCATAGTTTTATTACTACGCTGTTTCAAGAAGACATTGACCCTAAAACTCCAACCACATGTAAAATTGAATGGTTTAAATCAAAGCGTATTTATGTATTACAATAACCTAGCCCAAGTTCATTTCTAAAATAATTTTGAAAACTGTTGGAAGATTTTAAAATTCATGTTAACTTATATTCTCATTGTAATTTAAGAGTTATTGTTCAAATTACAGAAAAACAAACACAAAGCAACTAGATGGCCATCCATCCTCTCCGGCTTACTCCGTGGGACCGGTGCATATTTCCAGCAGTTCATGGGCGAGGGGCGGGGTACCTGTACATCCCGGACAGGTCGCCAGTCTGTCGCAGGGAAACACAGATATACAACCATGCTAACACACTCACACCTAAGGCCAATTAACCTAACAGCCATGTTTTTGGACTGTGGGAGAAAGCTGGAGTACCCAGAGAGAACTCAGACATGCATGGGGAGAACATGCAAACTACATGCAGAAAGAC